AAAACAACAGATGCAGCTAACCTGTACACACCAATACACTCATCTCCTGTGATAAGTTGATTCTACATTTATAAAATGTATTGCTAATAATAGTTTCTAGGTAAGCATATGCCAAGCAGAAGTCTGATGTCTGAATTACTCTTGGAGGTTACTCTGAACCACCTTGTCACTCGGTGTGAAAGAGCTTTTTCTGATGTTACTCCTAAATGTTGGACCAATCTGCTTCCTATGGTTAGGATGACTAGAACTTTAAATGAGTAAAAATTCCTTTTGTGAACTTTTAAATTGGTATTTAATGCTAGAGGGTCAGACATTTTAGACCTATCTTACCAATAGTGCCCTTTATTTATTTTATGCATTATGTTTGTATAATCTGTTACTTAGGATTTCCAGCTGGTGTAAGTGATGCATTGATTGATTTGGTTTTAATCTTGGACATCAGCTTAAGCCTAATCTATATTTCTCTGTCAGCTCAGCGAGGGACACACACACACACACACACACACACACACACACACACACACACACACACACACACACACACACACACACACACACACACACACACACACACACACACACACACACACACACACACACACACACACACTGACTTCAGACTTCTCCGTCAGCTGGGGATTGTTGCAAAAGAATTCCCCGCCAGGGCAACAGAGGGCGTAGCGCTATTCTGAGATATCCTGCCACCATTACGGTCATGTATCCAGTCGATGATAGTGTATTAATTATTGCGTTTACATTGTTTTAATGTATTTCAGAGACTTTTTAACAGGGATAAATTTGACCCTCATCCTTCTCCACCTCTTCATGTGATCGGCACCTCTAAACCCACGTTTCTCGTCTTTTCCATACACGAATCAAACGCTTGCTTGCTTTGTACTTTTTCAGTCAAGGGTGAATCAACGTTCATATTTTCTGACTTTTTCCACGATGTGTTCTTCAATCTGTTCTGTGTCTGCCGCTGAATATCTCTTTACATTTTGAAGTGGCAAAGACGGTGCTGTTGACAAATTTACAGGAAGCGGCGTCCTGACCAATCACAAGCTTGCGCTCTCCATCTCTTTTGACGGGTAATTAAAAATTGGGGCTTGTCTCCACCTTCCTCTGGGAGCACGTCGAAGGGCTCTTGCATCGATGCATAATGGCGTCGCGTGTCTCCGTCCCGACGCGGACGGAGAAGTATAAATTAGGCTTTAGATGTTGATCAGTGCACTTGTAAATGTGTTCTTAGGCGAGACACTAAACCCACTTTGCTACTGGAGTGCTCAGAGGGATTTTAGCTCATCTGCATTAGTGTGTGAATGTGTGTGTAGGTGAATGACTGTTTGTGTTGTAAAATGCCTTAGGGGATTGTAGAACCCTAGAAGGCACTAACGGGCATTTTCTGGGGCTTTACTGTTCTAACTTCATTCTTCTTTTGTCATCATCATCTTATTTCTATTATTATTGTTTTGTTCATTTAAATTCTTACTGCAGCTGTAAGTCATGTCTGTTGGACGTGATATACCGTAAAAAAAAATGTTATTTAGATGTTTAGAGTCTTGCCTATCCAGGTAAACAAAAGCTCCCAGACTTCATAGGCTGGGTGCAATCCCGGCTCCCTCCTGCATTCAGCGGATTAAGGTTCATCACAGAAATGGGGATTTGAAACCAGTGAGATTGTTGTTTCTCACCCTCCACCACTTGCTACACATAAGCAACACCGCCTGGAAGAGAATCAGTCTGCCACAGTAGGTTGTTGAGGGAAAATCCTGTGCCCCTGGCATTTGAGACGGCCCTCTGCCAGCCTCAGAATCCTTGTTCCAGACTTTGTAATCAGTAGACATTTATTTTTCCCATTTTCTACAATTTTAGTTATTTTATTTAGATTTTGCCTTTAGTTTGAGTTTCCTGTGTTGATGAACAAAAGAAGTCAAGCAGTCTTGAATGAAAATTGAGATTAGAAGGATTAAGGTCCCATTACGTTAAGACCTGCAGCTTCAATTTGTCATTTTAGTCCATCCATTTCTTTTTTCCACTTATTTGGCTCCAAACTGCAACCTACCCCAGTGATACCCAATTCCCTTGTCAGTCTGGAGATTTAATCCCAAGCTAGGTGGACATGCAACTTTTTCACTTGTAGTGTCCAGCTTCAGCTCAAACTGTCAGATTTCCTCACAGAGCAAATCTCAGGAGTCATGTGATCACATTGTACGACCCAGTTCTCAGGTGCAACCTGGCTGCTCTCACTTTTAGTCTGGTAGCAACACGTCGGACCTCCAAACATGCTAAAAATAGCAGTTTTGACACAGCACGCTGGACTTTTTTTGTGTTGTTAATGGTGTCTGGCCTTCGGGAGTCCTGTACGAGGACACGCAGGGATTTATGGGGGTTGGAGGAGGAAGACAAAAGAAAGAAATTAAATCAGTATTTTGTGATCAGTTTAATTTGACATAAACAGGGCAAACATGCATTCTTGACATTCTTTGTCATTGTGTGCCTTAAAAAGTGTAGAAATAAAAACCACCAACATGTGTTAACAGGGAAGTAGCTGGCGAGCCGTGTTGACGCATGTTTGCACATGCGTCGGGAGCACTTCGGGTACTTTTTGGGTCGCAGCGCCGCTTCAACAGTGCAATACTCTCTCAAGGGACGAGCAAAATATCAAACACTCCAGAAATCGCCAGAAGTTTTTGCCTACAACTCTCCGAATGCTGCTCTACCTCCTGAGCTACTGCTGCCCTTACATGCCCAAATGGGAGGTGTCCAGGAAGCATTCTGACCAGAGCTGGGTATCGATTCAAATTTCAAGAATGGATTTGGCAAATGGCCTGTATTTCGATAGCGCCTTCTTCTTCACAACACAATCAGTCATCCATCCATTCACACGTTTGTGATGATGAGCTACGATGAAGCCACAGCTGCCTTTGGGTGCACTGACAGAGATGAAGTCTACCAAACACAGGTGCCATCGGTCCCTCCGACCACCATCAGCAGACAAAGATTGTTAAGTGTCTTGCCCAAGGACACAACAGCAGCATCCTCTGGCTAGAGAGATTGAACCTACAGCTTTCTGATTATTGGACAACCTGCTCTACCTCCTGAGCTACTGCCGCCCTAAAGTGTTAGATTTTTTTCCTTTTTTCAAGAGTTAAAATCAATTATCACAAACCGATCCAATCCATTCTGTTCCAATTTAGAAATCACATGGGTCAGTGCTATTAAAATGTGTTTTGAGCTGTAACGTTAATTATATCTCTGACATTCATGGACACATAATTACTTTAATTTAACACATTTACATGGAAAATAGAGCCAGGGTAGGACAAGTCGCCTATTTCTGCCAAAAAGATTGGGTTTTCTTTAATATGCATTGCATTTGCTGATCATGTTTCTGTATTTCAAAACTCAGTACGTGTCAACACTTTAGATTCCAATGAAAGAACACTGGGTGAGTTAGAGTTTACTGGTTGGAAACTGTAAAAACCCTTTCAGACCTAAAACGCCCAATTTTAAACAATCAAATCAGCTTTTGGACTTGTGAATCAATTAATAAAATATTTGGGGAATTTTTATAAGAATTTTTATTTTATTTATTTATTTTCAACACAGCTCTAATTCTGACCAAATGCTGAGACCAACTCAATGGGAGCAGCAGCTCTACTATGAATTTCTCCCAATGTCGCAGTTCTAATACCGGCTTTTCACCGACGGCGCATTTGTCCCGTAACATCTGCAAAGCGTAATAAACAGCTAATAACTGCAGTTATAGTCAATGGGTGTGTTTCCCCCGGGCGTGGAGTCTTTGTGGAGTCGTGGGGATTTGAGTCATTTTTCTCTCTTTTCTAAAACGTGTCAAGCTCAGCAGTTCAGTTCGTGTCAGACAGGAAATCAAACATGAAAGCAGCGTAAAACCTTCAACAACTTTCAAAATAAAAGACACAGATTTCTTGTTGCTTAACCAGTAAAAAGAAATATGTATTTACTGGTTGCACCTCAGTGGTCGAGGTAAAAAGAAAAGATGCTGTAAGGCTGAGCCCAGCTGCCCTGCGAAGGAAACTCTTTTTAGATGCTTTCATTCACAATCTTCTTTTTAGATCATTACCCAAAGCTCATGACCATAGGTGAGGATTACAGCAAAGATTGGTGAATTTGAAGTGTTATTAAAATAATAATTGTACTGTGTTTAGTAGTTCCCAATCCCTTTACATCCATCCCACTGTGCAAAGGCCTAGTTTGGACGTCCTACAGACGTGGTCTGGACCAATGGACTCAATATTGACATGGTCTTCACTTCCATGCGACGTTGACTGTTTGCAGGGATGCTTCAACATTCTATTTTCAGCGGTCAAACATGAATAAGGATCTTTATTTTTTGAAGTCAATTATTTTTTTCTTATCTTTTCGCCAGGGAAGATCAAGTTGAGCTAAAAGCTAGCGATTAGTGCTAAACTGAGTACGACAGGCATTGATGTTCTACAGGGTCGTCGCTGTGTCTCAGTCCTGTCCTTGGAGATAAGACCCATGGCCTACTTATAGACTGATCGATGACGGAATCCATACAAACACTCTCCCACACAGTTTGCTCTCTTTGCTTCTGTCATTAACTCGCCTTCTTTAATCGGAAGTGTGCTTTCACAATCTCGCCCGTTTCTCATCATATTTATTGGAAAGCAAAGATAAGACTTATGGAACTAAAGGTGCTGAATGTTAATGTACCTCTATAACAACCCATTTGTTCCACCGTTTGAATAACATTAACATAAAATAGGTATTCAGTGTGCAAACGTGGAAGTTGTATTTCAACCAGGAAAATGGAAAGAAAAACAACATTGGCATTTTTTGTGGGTCTCTCCTTCTTTTGTGCATCTTGGCCAAGGTTAATACCATTGTAAAGTATAATGTCGTGCTTTGAAAATTGCTGTTCCATCTCCCCATAATTCACAAACTGATCTATTGCCCCCCCCCCCCCCCCCCTTTTCCGTCTCCTCTTGTCTTTGTAGCTAAGGTCAAGTCAAAGTGTGCTCCCACGTTCTTTGCCTGCTCTAATGGTATCCACTGCATCATCGGGAGATTCCGCTGCAACGGCTTTAGTGATTGTCCCGACGGGAGCGACGAGGAGAACTGCAGTGAGTCTCACACACGACACCCAGATTCAGTCACCATGATAAGCTTCAGGCCTTCGTCACTAGAAGTAACAATCTGTTCCAACGTTCACTATCCTCTAGTCATAACAGCTTATGGATGGAAGAGTTCCAAATATCATGCTTCTGATGTGGCATGTTAAAATAGCATCCTGGCAAAGCCTTGAATGGGATATTTGTGTTTGTTTCAGTTTAAGTTTGGGACATTGTTTAAAATCAGAAACCAAATGCGGAAGTTCTTTTTTTGATTTCCACAACGATTCTAGAACTGGGACAGAACCACAGAACCACTACTGCTGCATTGCTTCACATCGTCCTATTAGCAGCACGCTGTTTGTATTAGAGCTCTGGTGAGAGCAGCTGTTCTTGTTTTAAATCAGAATGTTTTTCTTATTTTGTGCGTTATAGAAAGTGGCCTGCTCGTTATTTTTAGCATTTTCTCAGTCAGACAGGCTGGTTTAGCAGCGTGTGTCTCACCGCATGTCATTGAGTTGTAATGCGCGTGTTATGTTTGCCGTGGACACAAATACATCTGCAAATCGGATCATGTTCTGAACAGATAATCAGCCGGTGGACGTATTTGGAGGGTTGCTCTGAGACTCATAAAAAAATTCATCCCTAAAGCAGTCAATCACTCCTATAGAAACCTTGAAGTGATTGTCGCTCAGTGGTTGGTGTGCTCGCATACAAACATCGTATTTCATTCAAAGGTGTCCTCACAGAGTTCTGCACCAAGCAGAACTTGTTTTAACTTGAAAGTAGGGTTGAATTATTTTTTTTAATATACCATCAAATTCCTTCTGAAATTAGAATCCAGTATACAACAAGCTCTCCATCAGATGACTGCCCATTTAGCTATGGGGGTTTCGGCTGACATAATTTATACATTTGCTGTAAATAAAAACATTTTATCAGGCTATTAAATGCCAAGTTAACTGAGAAACTCTTTTTTACTTGTTATTTTAGAAAATGACTGCTCACTCTGGGACAGCAGTAACTCATGAGGTAGAGCAGGTTGTCCAGTTATCAGAAGGTTGCAGGTTCGATCCCGGCTCTAACCAGAGAATGCTGCTGTTGTGTCCTTGAGCAAGACACTTAACCCACCTTGCCTGCTGGTGGTGGTCGGAGGGACCGATGGTCCCTGTGTTCGGCAGGCCTCGCCTCTGTCATTGCGCCCCAGGGCAGCTGTGGCTCATTCCCAGCAGCGTGTGAATGTGTGGTTGTATAACCCTAGGAGGGTGCTACACAAATACAGGCCTTTTACAATTTTGCCATTTACTGTGAGTTTTACATGCAGACTGAACATGAAAATAGTGTTCTACCCCTAATTCCTGTATTAGCCACATATTGAAAATAGATGAAGAAATGCATGGATTAGAAAAGCCACTGATATGCAAATCACTTTGTCAAATTAGCGTTCATGGACTCACCCACCTTGGCTCCTAATGGGGAAGGCTGTTGCTGATTTAGCGTTCAGGAAAGGGCGGAGCACATCTCTCCTTGTAGAGGCTAAATGTTAGCATTAGCAACTCCACCACATGGCATAACTCCTTCAGCCTCACTTTATTTGTGGAGACAAAACATCACCGTTGCAAAGAGTCAGTGGTAGACTTGCATTGTTTATAGCCAATGAAAGGTGAGATGTCCAAATATCAGAATGTAAGACTCCATCCTGTCATCTGAAGCTCACCTCTGTTCTGGTTCACATCTAGTTCCTGAAACAGGAGCGCCAGAGCTCTTTTCCCCTATAGAGATCGACTCACAAGGCGTTAATTTAGAATATAGATCACTGCAACTATATTTGAAAAAAAAAATTGCAAAAAAGTGAAATTGGTCCTTTTAACATCTGGACATGCATTGTAATGATATAAATCGTACACACACACACACACACACACACACACACACACACACACACACACACACACACACCAAATTGAATTTATTTTAATAAAAATAAAATACTACAGCGATGATCTATAAAATATATATTTTGAATTAAAGCAAAGCTGTGTAAAATATTTTTAGAATAAAGACTTTAACTTAACACACATTTAAAAAGCCAGAGGTTGACAAAAATGCATATTTCTGACAAAAATTACATTTGCTGATACTGTTTCTATATTATTGTCTAAATGTTAATTTTCATGTATTTTATTTAACGATGAAAGGGTGATTCAGAGACCATCATGTTTCATTGTTAATAAATGTATCAACACTTTAAAACTGATAGTAGTGACAGGTGGCCAGTACAGTGTTACTATATTCTTAATTTTGACCCATCCTAATGTCTTTGAAAAGCCTGTATCCTAAGGTGCCGTATGGAGTTTGTTCACTCGACCTCTTTGCTGCCCCCCCAGTGGGAAACGAGAATCAGCCCAACCACCCTCCATTGTCAGAGACACGGTTCTTTGCCTGCAGAGCCCATGCTCATGAATCTAATCTTTCCATTTAAATGGAGCTTTGCCCTATGGTCACAGCACCAACTGCGTCACAACTGTGTAACTGTCCAGATATTTTCACAAGATAATTATGCCCCCATTTTTCAGGAGCCAGAACAAAGACAAAAACCCAAACATGAGCTGAAAATGATTGGTGGTTCTCAGAAAGAATTGGAAATGTGAGGGTTTTCTTTGTCTTTTAGTTCAGTTCAGTTCATTTATTTATAAAGCACTTTAAAACACCCAGCACAGGAACAAAGTGCTGTACAGAAAATACATTAAAACAATAGAATAAACAGAAAGCAGCAAAGAGAAATAAATAAATAAAACACAGGAGACATTAAATTAAAACAGCCCAATAATAAGAATAAAAACTAGATAAAAAACAGCATTGAAACACACAAAAACAGCTTAAATAAGTCAAAACAAAAATTTTTAAATAGTAACAACATCTCGCATGGTGTCAAAAGCAGTGTATCAGTGTTATTTTGTATCAGTGTACAATTATCGACTATTCAACCAGCGTACACAGGTGTAAGTGGTTCACTTGCCCTCAGAAACTGTCTGTCAAATAAAGTTATATCTTTTATTTCAATATTAATTAGTGACGCAGATGGAAAATGAGTTCAGAAATAAACTAAATTTGCTCCTAGCAACGTAGCAAAACAACTACAGTTTTATTCCTTAAAGGTGTTGGTCACTGTTATGTCCCCGACAGGAGGTGTTAAAATGTGAAGGAGGGGGCAACGTAAGAAATGCGTCGGTGGAGTTAAAATGGTTTCACTTGTTGTAAAAGGTTCTAAAAACGAGCAAACAGATGGCGAGCATTATTAAAATAATGCAAAACGAAAAATTCACTATAAGGTTAACAGTTAAAAGACAACTTATCAACTAAATAAAACGCCTGATTCAAACTTTATTAAAAGTTTTACCAAACTGAAGGTGGTTCAAAAACACAACAAAGTTGATAAAAGTCTAAAAGCTAAATCCGAGGTAACCTTAAAACACAGTCAACACTAGGTGACATGCACAAATGATCCATGTGGATCACTAGAGTTAAAACTTTTACAGTTAAAACTCTTCCAATCAAAGGGGTTGAAAACAAAATGTGGCCTAGAGGACAGCAGAACCCCTGCACTGCTGCCTCCCAGACTGCTGAAGGCACAGCCTTTTGATCCAGGTGTGGGTCACCAGCAGGATTCAGATCAGCTGTGCTCCTCAGCAGCCTGGAAGAGAGGAGGAGGAGGGGCGGTGTCAGGCTGATCACCAGGGCTGGGTGATCCTGACTCCTGCATCCCAATGGCCAGGCTGTTAGCCCTAACAGTCACTCTTCTTCTTCTTCTTCTTCTTCTTCTTCTTCTTCTTCTTCTTCTTCTTCTTCTTCTTCTTCTTCTTCTTCTTCTTCTTCTTCTTCTTCTTCTTCTTCTTCTTCTTCTTCTTCTTCTTCTTCTTCTTCTTCTTCTTCTTCTTCTTCTTCTTCTTCTTCTTCTTCTTCTTCTTCTTCTTCTTCTTCTTCTTCTTCTTCTTCTTCTTCTTCTTCTTCTTCTTCTTCTTCTTCTTCTTCTTCTTCTTCTTCTTCTTCTTCTTCTTCTTCTTCTTCTTCTTCTTCTTCTTCTTCTTCTTCTTCTTCTTCTTCTTCTTCTTCTTCTTCTTCTTCTTCTTCTTCTTCTTCTTCTTCTTCTTCTTCTTCTTCTTCTTCTTCTTCTTCTTCTTCTTCTTCTTCTTCTTCTTCTTCTTCTTCTTCTTCTTCTTCTTCTTCTTCTTCTTCTTCTTCTTCTTCTTCTTCTTCATTTAATCAATACCTTTTCAGTGGTCTCTAGTAGTCTCTGGAGCTTCAGACAACATGTTTTGGAGTCTTATTTCCTGATATTTGGACATCTTGCCTTGGATTGAATGACAGCAACACAACTCTACCACTGACTTGCATTGTGGATGTTTTATTTCCACAAATACCACAAGCCTGAAGGAGCTTCTGCTGTGTGGTGAAGTTGCTAATGCTAAGGGCCTTGATATACTTGCTGTTTGACAACACAAACGCGTGTTTAAAATGGCTGCCACGCGTTACTTGCGTTGATTTGAAGCACCATTTGTGTGTATCCTCTAAATTTTATGCGACACGTCCAAACGAGTATACGAGTTGACCAAACGAGCAAGTCACACTCACCATGGTGACTCAGTTTCTGGTTTAGAGGTCTTTCACACCATCTTCAATACCGCTGTTGCCTTTTTTTCTGTCGTGAACTCAAAATTAACCAGTTACTGATCTTTTCTATTGACGCCAGGTTTGTTTTGGTTGTACCAACAAACCTGGCTCTCTGTCCAGTCTGAGTAGTCTAGTGCGCCCCCTCGTGGAACACCCCGTTACTACGTGCAGCACAGTGTTGTGCATGCAGCAAACACCTGACGCGAGGTCAAACAGCAAGTATATCACGGCCCTAAGAGTTAGCTTTGTTTAGTCGGTACACTCTCTGCTGATTCTTGGATGTTGAACCATCAACAGGCTTCCCCGTCATGAGTGAAGATGGGTGAGTCCATGAACGTTAAACAGTCAACGTTGCATGGACGTGCAGATCATGTCTATATTAAGTCTGTCGATCCAGACCATGTGTGTAGGATGTCCAAACTAGGTCTTTGCACAGTGGGACAGTGTGACGTAGATCTGTCAGGCCTTTCAAATCCTAGAGTTTCACCGTCTATCAGAAGCTAATGCAACAGATAGGTGTAGGAAACTATTTTCATGTTCAGCCTGCATGAAAAACTCAGAGTCACCAACTGTTAGGGCTGCTCGATTATGGCAAAAATAATAATCGCGATTAATGTGACTCAAATTGAAATCTTGATTATTTAAGACGATTTTTTGATTTATGTTGATTTTATTTGTTTTTATTCAGTCATAAAATTGCTCAGGGCACAATCAGGACAAAAATAAATAAGAAACAAGATGATCACTAAAATAACTCCTGATTCCGTATAAAAAGACCATTATACTTACAGCTCATAGTTTATGACCCAAGGGCTATAGACCTTGGTTTAACTCATTTAAGTCTAACAGTACAGACCCAAATACCAATATCTTGCAAATACTGACAGCAAGAATTATACAGTGGCATTTATAACAAATAAATGCTAATAAATTGATGTGCACAAAATGTTGCATAACATTTATTTAGTCATGTCAAGGTGCTGTAGGTGTCCTCATAGAGATTAGTTATTATTTATCAGCGTGAGGAACTTATTTCTATCTATTTCTACCTTATTTATAAACAATTTATTTACAAGTCCATCAGTTAATGTAACAATTGTCCCAACCACAGCTGCACCCCCCACCCCCTAACCCGGTCTCACAGCAATCAGGGGCAAGCTGCACGTGTGTCTAGCGTGCTGCACATGCACATTTAGCCGTTTTCAGTGCCTCAGGAGTCCGCAGGTGCGGTGTGTGTGTCACTCACTCTGGTTACTCCAACAAGGAGCCGGCTCTGAGAGCCGTTTCTTTAGCGACTGACACATCACTACATCATTCCCTTTCCTCATGTCCTGAAGAACGGTCCGGAGCTCAGGCGGAGTGTTTAGCTAACTTGTAGGAAATGTCGACGACAGTTATCCAGAAAGTAGCTAAGGGTTACCAGAGATGTTTCTCAGATGTTCGCCAGGTACTTTTAAGATTTAAAAAGTCAAGAAGGGGGTCTGAAAAGCTGTTGGAAATAGCGTCAAAGTCGCTAAGTTGGCAACACTGTGGGAGGAGCGCTTCATTTGTAACTCAGGGCAGCGCAAGTGGGAGGAGCAAATAATCGGCTTGTTTTGTTTTTATAATCGTTCAAAACTCAGATCGTAATCGTGATTAAAATTTGATTAATTGAGCAGCCCTACCAACTGTAATCAGAAAAATATTTTTTTCAGTGTTCCACACCTTTAAATTACTCATAAATAACCTGTTTGTCCAACATCGCCTTTGTTTGCGCTCGATCTCTGCCTTGACTCGTCCACAGCAGGGAACCCCCTGGTCTGCTCGGAGGCTCGTTTCAAGTGTCGAAACGGACGCTGCGTTGACCGCAGCTTCCTGTGCAACGGTCAGGACAACTGCAAGGACAACAGCGATGAAGAGCTCTGCCTCACTACTGCAGGTACACCCTCAAGGCAAATGTATGAAAATGTCACACATGCATGAAAAATACTAAAATTCATATTCAGATTAGCAATCAGCCAGAAGCTTGTTGGAATCCATCTGGAATTGAGCTGGATGGTTCTGTGGCTTTTTGTGACACATCAGCTGATATTTCTGTAGAAATCTTTGGAAAAACAAGTGTTCTGCTGCCTGTGTTACATAAAGACCCATCAAAGCCACTTATAGATCCAGAGAAGGCAAACACTGCTTTGATTCTGGTCTGCCAAGTTTGAAGGAGATGCCTGTTTAACTCTCACACTCCGTCAACTTGGGGTGAGGTTTGATGACACTGTGCTGAACTGCCTCCTAACACGTATGACAGTATCCTGACGATGATCGTGACACTTTCTGCTGCATAAATCTTCTCCACTGGCAGGTACTCTAAAGTCTGGCATGTATGCTGACACAGACAGAGATTTCTGTCACCACTTCAACTGCACTTACTGGAAAGCAAGTGGTTTCTATTAGTCTAAACTTGGTGCACACACAAGTAAAACTAGACCTAATTCCGTTATAATTTGCTTCTAGGGAGCCAAAGTCCAACACTCAAGAAGGTCCTTCAACGTTTTCTTTGACGGACCTTCAGGAAGACCTTGACAGACTTTTCTTTATGCTGTAAAACCCCAGACCAGTAAATAGAAAATCACTATTTCTGTGTTGTTGCAGGGTTTTTACATAGTATTACAGGTATTGAATTACATTTATTCACACCTTAGGTTTTAGCTGTAATTCACAGTTTTTTGTTTTTTTTTGGCTAAATGGGCTAAAGATTAGTTCAGGTCTAAGGAGTTTATTTCCACTTTGACAAAACTCCAAAGCCATTGCTGTCAGAAAATGCTGATCGACAGATTTCAAAGCATGTCTATGCTGTTAAGAGACATGAAAATATGTTTTAAGCTCATTTGTTTTCCAAAATAGCTATAGCAGCTTTACAGGGGCATTATGGAAGTTTGACAGCCAAAACATATGTAGAAATAATAAATGTCTTCTTAATGCATTCTCCTGCAATGCCCTGGTCCTGTAGAATGAGCCCTGGCATTTTTACTGTGATTGCCTGTTTTTCTGTAAAATCACAGAAAAAGAGAGCTGCTCGGGTCGAGCAGGCTGCTTCATGCACGTTCACGCTCAGGCATAGCCCTCCGAACCGTTCTTTGAACGTTGTTTGTTATTATTAGGGATTTAAATGTTACACATTCAAAGTACATCATTGGTGCATCTAGCTCGCCTAGTAAGATGTCGGACTTTGGTGCAGAGGATCTGGGTTCGATTCTGGATGCGAAGATAGTTTAATTAGAGTTTCTTTTTTACATTAATGGTATATTTTTTTAAAGTAAGATGCCCAAAATTTTAATTGAGACTCTCCAAACGGCATTGAATTCACAGATAAAAAAGATGCGGGTTCAACTTTCATTTTGGAACAATTTTTCAAGCAAGGGAAGGCAATGATCTGAGCACGCAGGACGGAGGACTGACCCATCATAAACCTTTGTCGGCTGTGCTGAAGAGAAAGGTACAGAACCAAATTATTTAATTAATTAGCTGCGCGTTCTCCTGTCCTCTGTCCTCCGGGCCACACACACACACAAGGGACTGTCTCAGCTGTTATTTTCGTTCAGGAGTGTGCAAGTACAGCATGCGCGCCTCGTGCACGAGCCTACTATTGAAGATGCCGTTACGCTTTTGGCCTGAGGGGGCAATCGCGAGCATAAAAATTCAAAACTCCATAAAGTCCCTTTAAGGCTTGATTAAAAGCCAAAAACGTAAGCATCAATGTCTGCATTTTGCTGCAGTCATTCACCAAACATTAAAACGTAAATGTCATTTTAAAACATTTAAGATGTATGTTTTCCTGAAGGAAGAAAAACTAATCGGCTGTGAACCATTTATCTGACTAATTTGTGTAAATCATGCTTGTGTGCGGTAATTATTTTCCTTACTCTAACTTCTCGAGTCAGTTCCTAATTGCCACCTCATTCTTTTCTCAATGACCAAGTCAGTGCAGAAGCACAGAATGCTGAATAGAGCGTTATTGTGATGCAAACGTTTTGATCGATAACCGTATCCACTGGGCCTCATCTCCTTGTGCATGAGTGAACAATGCAAACTCCACAACCGACAATTAATACGAATCCTCTGAAGGGAGCGGACTCTCGGGAAGCGAGTTTCACAGCAAATGCAGACGTTATTAAACCACAAGTAGGAAACTTAACATGGAATGATTTTCAGAAAAGCAGCTCTTGTTAAGAAAATGATCAAAAGCACGTCAGAATTTTTCTTCTGCGGCCATGTGACACCTCTCCAACAAATTTTATGAAACTTTTGTGACTTATATGAATTTTGTGGACAAATAAACCATAATGACAAAATCATGGCCGCTGACCGTTTCAGAGAAAACATTGTCGGTCGTTCTCAGTTTTCTGATGCATTATATCCTAAAATGTTCATGCTCACATCTATTCAGTTTTTGTGAAAATTTTTATAAAGTTGACAGAAAAAATTTCTCTGAATGCTTCTGTAGATAAAACGTGTTATAGAGCTGTGAGTTGTATCTGTCTGCATCCATTTTTAACTGAATACCTTTTCAGTTGAGTTTGCACAAAAAAGTGCTTTGGAGCATGATCATGGCAGAAAAAGTTTGGATGCTTGCTTTGTTATATTCCCGAAAACTTTATGTCAGCTCAGATTGTGTTTTTATGTATGGCAAAGGCAAAATAGAGACCTAAATGCTCTCCCGGTTGTTTTTGCTGCAAAAAACTCGTAGCAACCCCTGAATTGCAAGACCGATAAAGTGTGAGCTCCATATTCCACTGGTCTTGAAAACACATCAAAGAAATGCAATATTTAATTTATTTTTAATATTTTTATTTCTATATTCATGCTCTGTGCTGTAGAGGAAGTGAGGGCATTACTGCTGTTCACTCCAACACACACACACACACACACACACACACACACACACACACACACACACACACACACACACACACACACACACACACACACACACCGGCCTCACATTCTGCTCTGACTTTGCCTTTTTCTATAATAAGCACAGACCTGCAGGTGACAGATAAGGCCTACAATATCCGCTCTAAGCTACCTGAACATAGCATCTTCCTCACTTTCACCTCTTCCTCTCTCCTTTAGCTCAGCCCCTCCCTCCACTTACTAATAATTACTTAATCACATTTGTTTCTGGTTCAGTGTCAGTGGAGTTTGCTAAAGCACAGATGATTAGGGCTCTTAGAAATGATGGTTTTCGTCGCCATGCTTTGGATTCAGATGAAATCCTAGCTCAAAATTGCTTGATGGAGCAGATTTTTGTTCCTAAACTTATTAAAAAATGCACAGAAATTAACTGGAAAAAGAATAAATGAAACTGAAAAATAAATCAAAGATGTTGAGATGTTTTAATAAAAAGTTCTACATAATTAGATTACATTGTACTTTTCTTAATATTCATAACAGCATTTTTACTTATGTTTATGTATTTAGCAGACGATTTTGTCCAAAGCGACTTACAAGGGATAATCGGCATGTTGCCCTTGAGATTAACAACATCAATAACAACAACAACTTGACATCAATCATGGAGAGGAGGGAACAAGGAGTGGATGGTAGAGAGGGGGGAAGGGTGCAGGGAGGAGGGTGCTAGTTTAGAAGATGCTCTCTGAAGAGCAGGGTCTTCAGGAGTTTCTTGAAAATTGAAATGGAAGCCGCTGTTCTGGTAGTGCTTGGAAGTAGGGATGGGTACCTTTGACATTTGAATCGATCCGGTACTAATTCCCGGTACCTACGAATCGATACCGGTACTTAACGGTACCAATTTTCGATACTTTTGAGTGTTTATTATTTTAATTCTCTTTTATAATTAAATATATATTTTTCTCAATATATAACAATATTTGATAAATATCACGATAAATAACATTCAACTGTTTGTATTTTAACATCGTCCTTGTAGTTTTATAAGCTGATAATTAAACTGAAGCAAACATCTTTACTGTGAACTAAATTTACTGAGTATCTTCATTCCTTTTGCCGTCTTTTTTCATTTGATTTTTCCTACTGGGAAGTTAGAATTTCCGAGGAGAAAGCGAACGCACCATTAGCTGATAACAACGGTGGCAATGGAAGCTAACATATCAAGCTAACGTTATCTTTAACAGTTGATTTAACTGCTGGAGCAGATTAAAACGATGATGCCTCACATTTAGATCGTTGTCGCTGGTTTCTTCTTCACCCAATCACCTGTCGCATTTAGTAAAGTGAAGCCAAACTTTAGAACGCGTTCATGTTCTTCTAGTCGGAAATTCGGAGTTCCGAGGAGAAAGCGAACGCACCATTAGCGAAACGGAAGCTAACATATCAAGCTAACGTTATCTTAAACATTTTATTTACCTACCGGAGCAGATTAAGATGAGGATGTCTCACTTAGATCATTGTCTGTTGCTGGTTTCATCATCACCCAGTTACCCATCACATTTAGTGAAGTGGACCCAAGCTTCAGCGTGCGTTCTTTCTACCATGCTGCTCTGTTTACAACTCACTCGCAGGGACCGACAACATAACGCTCTTGCGCATGCGCAGCTGTCTAGGCAAGTTCTAGTTATGAAGGACTGGTACCGAAACGAGGCACCGTTTGAAATGACGTGAATGGGTGCTCGGTCGGTACTATGGAATTCGGTCGGTACCTCAAAAAGTACCGAATTCGGTACCCATCCCTACTTGGAAGGTCATTCCACATTTGTGGAACGATGCATGAGAAGAGTCTGGATGGTCCTGAGCGTGGTGTAGGCACTGCTAGCCGACGATCACGTGATGACCGGAGCAGCCGGGCCAGGACGTAAGCCTTTGCAAGAGGATTCAGGTAGATGGGAGCCGTACCATCTCGGACTTTGTATGCTAGTGTTGGCAATTTGAATTTGATGCGTGCTGCTAGCGATAGCCAGTGGAGCT